ATGCAGAGGAAGGGAAAAGGTGTCCCCAGGGCAGTTCTTGCTAACTTTATCAGTCCCAAATCAACAGCATGGCACATCCGCAAGGGACCCCCACTGGGCAGCAGTGACCGACTGCTGTGGCTGCAGCATGGACCATACTCAGCCTGGTGCCTGTTTCGAGAATAATTCTGTTTTTTCAGCCCGGTTTCTGTTCCTGCCCCACTGTGATACTGTTTTCACAAGGAGCACCAGCTCTGTGCCTAAGGTGCTAATGAGCAGTGGCTTTAAGGGAAGCCATAATTTTAGTTTACTCCTGTCTGCATCTTGTCCCAGGAGGAGCTACTGCACAACCTGGAGGTGCAGCCTGGTGCCTGTTTCGAGAATAATTCTGTTTTTTCAGCCCGGTTTCTGTTCCTGCCCCACTGTGATACTGTTTTCACAAGGAGCACCAGCTCTGTGCCTAAGGTGCTAATGAGCAGTGGCTTTAAGGGAAGCCATAATTTTAGTTTACTCCTGTCTGCATCTTGTCCCAGGAGGAGCTACTGCACAACCTGGAGGTGCCCAGCGTTGTCAGCTAACGCAGCGCCGAGCCGGGGCTTGGCCATGCTGCCTGACTTGCTGTTGGCAGGAAAGGTTTGCGGCAGCTGCTGTCGGGCTCGGCGCCGTGGTGGAGTCATACCTTTGCAGCCACGCGGCTCAGCTCCACGGAGATGTCGCCGCCGGAGTTCCCGATGCCGACCACGAGGACTCGCTTTCCCTGGAAACCCTCTGCATCTCTGTACTCCCTGCTGTGGAGGTGCCGGCCTTTAAAGCACGTTTCAATACCTAGGCAGAGAGCATCTCTTACCATTAGGTACCTTTACTTGCCGCTGTGACATGCTTTTGACAGCCTCGTTGCTGGTCCCTTTGGCAACCCTCAGACCCTTCCACCCCTTCATCTTGCCTCCATCTCTGTCCTTGCAGCAGAGCCAAGTGCAGTGAAGCCCGTAAGGACTTTGGCTCTGTTGGGTGAGGCCAACAGCAAGAATGCTGTCTGGCATCCCCCGTCTCCTACCACCCTGCATGTGGTAGGAGCTCCTTCCAGCTGCAAAGGCAGGGCTTACCTGGAAAAGAAGCCAAGGGCAAAAGGGGCTCCTGGTAATGGCCAGTGCAAACCATGACAGCGTCGAAGATGTGCGACTCCTGGCCCGCTTCGGTCTCAGTGACGACATCCCACTGGCCCGAGGTGGAGAAATCGGGGCGCTTCCTCACGCTGCAAACTGTTGTCTTGCATCAAAACGCAATAAAAAGGCAGTCAGGAACTGTGCCTCATTCCCAAGAGGTCCTGCCTGAGCAGGCCTGGGGTTTCCGAGGGCAGAGTGGGCCCTCCGGGAGCCTCATTCCGCCTCTGAAGCTGTTAGATTGGGCACTGAACCTTTCCTCTGGCAATTGCCAGGGCTGGAAAGGCACGAATGAGGGCTGTCACCAGGCAGCATGTGTTTGAGCAGCCTAATGTGCAGCCTACATTCAGGATGCGAAAGGTGCACAATCGTCGTGGACTTCATGCCCACTGTTATCTCGTCCCCCGGGCAATGCAAACCCAGTAATTGCAGCTACCGATGACCCTGCTCCTCACGGCTCTTGGCGGACCGTCCCTGATGGCTGCGACACACCTGGGCCTTGGCTCACCTTGAAGCGTATGTGCCGCAGGAGGTCGAAGCGCTGAGCGTACATCCGGAAGTACTCCAGGAGTTGGTGGTGGGGAAGGTAGTTGGGGAAGTCTTCTGGGCAGGGGAAGTCACTGAAGCAGGACATCTCCTTGGAGGTGTTGGTGATGACTGACCGGTACACGCTGGTCCTCCCACAGTCCACTGTGTCCTGTGTGAAGCGAGCAGTGCCATTTGCAGAGGGACAAAGAACGACTTTCTTCCTCTGAGTCATCAGAGCAGCTTGGATACGAGGAACAAACTGTGGCTAGCTCCCACCACCTCTACTCGTGGCTCCAGGACAAGGTGAGCAGTGAATTTAAAGTCCCCTCAGCCTTGGTGCCTGTCCCCATGTCACTGCCGAAGGAGGTGTGCACCCCGGGAGCCTGTGGCTTCTGCTCCCCCAGCACCTTCTCCCCTTGGAGCCAGGGGGAGCCCCGTGCCTGGGACAGAGATGGTCCCTGAGCTCACGGTTGCTCCCTCCTCTTCACTGTGGGTGGCGGCAAGTGGGGACAGGGCAAAACTAGGGAAAAACCTCCCCACACAGGCAGAGCCCACTCACAGTAAAGCACCAGAGCCCCCCGATGTCATCGCTCCTCTCAAAGCAGGTGGGCTCCAGCCCTTCATCCAGGCAGCACTTGATGGAGGCCAGCCCACTGGCCCCAGCCCCGATTACAGCCACTCGTCGCACCATGGTGTCCTGCAGGAGGCAAAGCAGGAGCGCCAGGCAAGATATCTTACTCGCTGAAGGGATATAATAAACTGGATATAAAATAGTCCATGCATTAGCAGAAACACTGGTCTTCCCACCCCACGGGAAAGCTCCCCCCAACTTCTCTGGCTGTAACTGTTCCTGAAGGACAACTCCCCTTAGACAAAATCCTCTTCGGTTCCCAGTGCAGGGAATGACACCTAGGCATCCAGGCAGAGCCTGAATGAGCAAGTGAAGGAGGAGGAAGGAGGAGCCAGTCTGCGGTTGTCGGTGGATGCTGCTCATTAGCCTCTGCACTGCACCCAAAAGCTGTTATCAAGAATAATGAGCTGCAAGGCAAAGCAAGCTGAGAGTAACTCCCTGGGAATAAACCACATCTGTCCCAGTGACCTCAGGTCGGTGGGAACTTCTCAGGGATTCAGGTGCTCCTGAGAGTCCAGCGATTCCCCTCATGCCGGCCAGGGAAAAGGAGGCACCTTTTCACGTTCACCACATTCCTTTTTCTATTTATTCCCTTTCCTGGTCCAAACCAGTGCATGAAAAGAGGGGGAAGCTCTTCCCAGCTGACCGCTTCGGGATCGCCCTTAGCATGGCCTCGAAGACATTGCCCTGCTTCTGGAGCGTTTCCTTATTAAATCTCATTGACCAAAAAGGGCAAGAGGACTTCTCATTTCTGAAGCCCAGTTGCTGACTCTCTGGAGGAACTGGCGCCCAAATGCCCTCTCAGCTCAGAGACCTTTCTGCATTGCTTTGAATCGCTGCCTGGCCCCAGGTGCTCATCCAGGGCTTCAGACGTGCTCCCGCTGACTCAGTGGGAGCAGAGAGGGGCTGCGATGGCCTGAGATCACTCCCTGGTGCTGGCTTGGTGGGGAGCTGGCCGGGGCACCCAGCTGTGTTCACAGCCATGGGTGCAGGAGGAAGCTCACAGCCACATAGCCGAGGTAGGCTTGCATAGGGAGCGAGCATGCAGCAGGCTTACCAAAAAAATTCAGGCAACAAAACTTCGCCTGAAGTTGTTTCAAAGAAGCTGGAGGACAAGGCAGGGGAAGGAAAACAGCAGATCCATTTTGCAGAAAATATGAAGGTTTTGACATTTGTTTTTCATTCCAGCGCAGAACAAGCCCTCCACCTTTTGCCCCTATTTTTATATTTTATTTTAAGAAGAATGCTGACCCAGACAGGGTGACAGTTTGAAGGCAGCTGCCTCATGAGAGCCAGGAAACTTGGGCTCACATCTCTGATACCAGGTAGAAATAAGGCTTCACTCACATCCCACACAGTCCAGGCAAAGAACCACAGGGTTCACGGGAGGCTGCATGGCCCCATCACTTCTGCCTGTGCAAACTGACCTTCTTGAAACATTGTCAAGAAACATTTTCAGCTAAACTGACCCATTTTCATCCTTTTCTTTCTATTTTCAATTAAATGGCATTTTCTTGGGAAAAAATTGGCTTTTAAAAAAACTTGTAACGCCTGGCTCTGAGTGGGAATGCAGATCAGTGATTTAGAAGCTATGAGCAATCCTGAGAGTGCTGCTCATATTACAAAATACAGGAAAGGAAAAAGAAAAAGAAAAGTTAGAAACCCAGGAATTCAGTGTATAGATGACAGGAACTCAAACGTCAGTACCTCAATGTAAATGGAAAGTTATGCTATGCCTCACTTAACAGTAAAGCAAAGAACTAGAAAAATATTAGCCCAGGTAAAGTTTGATGAGATAGCAAACACTCAAAGTGTAAAGTCTCAAAAAAGGGCTAATTTATAACTGGGTTTCAACTCATGTTATGGCAAACAGTAAGTTAATTTAAGCAAGACTTGGAGGAAACTGCAGAAATCTAGAACCCCCCCCCCCCAAGAAAAGTAGAGAAACTAGAACCATCTCATGAGCTCTCTCAATCCACTGCTCCGCCAGCCACAGCATGAAGTTAGGCTATAGCCTGTTACTTTTCTACGCAGCTAACGGACATTCAACCCCCCCCCCCCCCCAGCCACAGCATGAAGTTAGGCTATAGCCTGTTACTTTTCTACGCAGCTAACGGACATTCAAAAAACTGTGTATATAACGCTGAGTAACTTCCAGCCTGGGTCACTCTCGATCTCCAGGAGCAAGGGACGAAACGCTGACGCTCACCCACCTCCCACTCCCCAGGTCCTGTTTCTGAGAGCTTCCCCGTGCCGGGGCACCCAGCTGCCTCCTTTGGGAAAGGGGAGGGGGGGGTGCCTCGGGTGATAAGCCTCACCCCTCTTTTTTTAGGGCTGCCTACAGACTGTTTTGCTCGCAGGATGAGCCCTGGAGAGCTGATGCTGCCTGGCTGGCGTGCCAGTGGCACGCGTGCAGCCTGGCCTTGCCTTTCCCACTGCAACTTCATCTCTCCTCCACCGCCGCCCGCATCAGCGCAAAGCGTGCAGCTAATGCCGAAACCCCGGGAGAAACTCAAAGGCAACAAAGTGGTAATTGATTTTTTTTTTTTTTAAGTACACAAAACGCGGGCAGAAAGAAGTTAGGAACAAACCTTTTCAGGGCAACGCTGCGCCTTTTCCATTCAGGATTCGTCCGTCCTTTGCTTGGAGTTTCTCTAGCCACAAATTTAAATGACAGGCTAAAGTCCGTGCAGCTCTGGTTCGCTGCCATTCCCGGACCTCCAACCTTTACCTTTGCACTCCCACACTTGCTCACTCTTTCTGTCTGCTATTGAATTTAAATGCATTTACAGAAAGTTTGTTCTCCATCTGGGCGCAGCGACCCGCAGCGCAGGCAGAGCCCGGCTCGCCCGAGCCCACCACCAGGAAGCGTATAAATCAGCTCTGGGCTGATCTCAGCAGGGCTTGAAATGGTGAACTCCCCAGCCCAGGACTGTCACAGAGGGATTTCTGTGCCTATCTTTAACCACCCAGGAGCTGGACATCTAATCTGGCTAATCCTACAGAGTCTGGTCTAGGAGTGGGTGCTTTCCCATCTCTTTTGGGAGGGGAGTAGCCCCTCCTTCCACAGCGGGCAGGGGCTCGGGACTGGTGTGATGGGCAGCTCAGTGTCCAGCTGCACCCCCATACCCCGTAGGGATGTGCTTGCAAAGACTCCCACAGGACCTCCTCTGCTACCGCGACCAGCCGTGATGAAGCTCAGGGCAGCATCCGCACATGAGGGCTGCCCACGTCCTGCTGTGGTCCCAGCCTCCCATGCTGTATCCATGCTGCAAGAGGCTGGTGCCGGACACTCACTTGGTGTCCCCAGGAAATCAGTAAAATGCACTCCTTTTGCATGCACCCCAACAGAGAGCACGAGGGGTACAGGAAAGCCCTCGTGACACCAGGCTGTAGGATGCGAGCTGCCTGCACTCATGGCAGGAGCCAGGAAGTGATCCAGCACGACCCAGCCCTGGGAAGGGTCCAAGTGCCCGGCCAGCGCTCCCAGCAAAGACACGACGAGGCAGCTCCGGCGCTGCTCTCCCGGCACGACTGATAAAGCTTTTATTGTGCGAAAGACTCTCCATACAGAAAGCAACCCCAGTAACTGCACCGTCTGGGAGAGCTGCTGGGGGATCCAGGAGCGCTCAGCTCCGTTCACATGCTAGCTGATGCCTCGATGAGGCGGGCAAGAGATGGCCCCCATCCCACCCCGCTCCTGCCCAGCCCAGCCCCCAGGACAAGAACATGAGGGGAACCTGGCAGTATGGGCATTTCCAGTGCCCTCAACCCCTCAAACAACTGCCCGGAGCAGGAGAGCAGCAACAACTGGGGCCTCGTCACTGAAAAGACGCGCCAGTTCGACCCAGCTTAGGTCTTTTGGCTCATAAGCTCTAAGGCCCTAAGAAGGGACCGTCTGACCTGCGTAACCAGCCCAAGTAGCTTCTTGCTGGACTAAAGCCTCTCTTTGAGAGACACCAATTCCTGGGTGATTTGTGGCAGGGCTGGGCAGCTGATTTCCTTTCTGGCTGTGGGTTCAACAACCAAAGCAGTTCTTGTGGGTCGCATCCCATCTGCCTGTTGGCCAGTCTGGTCTGGACGAGGAGCTTAGCTGGAGCCATGCAGATGTGTTTTGTAGAGTGAGTTAGTGAGCAGTGATCGCACCAGCAGTGATGCCAGCAGGTCAGAGAGGAGCACAGGGGTGAAAAATGCTGGTGGGAGGCTGGCGTCACCAGCTTCATCAGCTAAGCAGGCCTGCAAAGATGTAGCTAGAGGAGAGAGAGCAAGTTTAGTGCTATGGGTTAAAATTTTAAACTTGTTCTCCTTATCTGTTGAAAGCCCTTTTGTCCTGTCCCATGAGTGCTGTGCCCCTGACACCCTACAGAGCTGTCTATGATCTATGATTACATTCCCCAGGACAAAAACCAGGGTTTTTAATCACAACAGGGCTACTGGAAACCAAAAAACACTGCTGCCATGAGCAGGAGAAATGCAAACACAGCAAGGAAAGAAGGCGCGACGCTGGAAGAGCTACTGGTGACTCGCGTTCTCGTTGGCTTCAGAATCCGGTCCCACTGGGTGAGAATGGCCTGTCGTGCCCCATCCCAGTGCCCAGGACCTCGCAGCCGGAACTGGTAGGGGGTGCAGGGGCCGAAGAATATAGAGAGGGCCAGCTTGGGGTCTCTGAAGAGCAGCGCCAGCACGCTGGGCTTCACGCCAATGAAGGAGGCAATCTCGTCCATGTACACCAGGCAATCGACTTTGAGGACTTCATCGAAGGACAGGCCGAACCTTAATGCATCAGAGAAAAGGAGGTGGGGGAGAGACCGGTGTCAGCAGGGTTGGCAGAGGGAATGGAAGTCAGGTACTCTTCATTTGCATTATTATTACATTTGAACACAACTGGTGTCCTCTTAGTAAAAGACTGGGCATGAAGAGCGCGAATCAGGGGCTGTCCAGGCCCAAATCTTGCCCAAAACAAACAGCTTCTATAAAGTGGTCCTGGTCCTCAACGTACATCTTCCTAGCATGCATCGTTCAGTCACTCGCTTCACAGCCCAGCGGTAGCATCTGGACACTCACGTTCACCTTTTTCCACACGACTTTGTCAAATCAGTTTTTGCTAGTTTTTCCTTTCCTCTCTGCAGTGAAAGTGTATGCTGTGTGAAAAAGGTGGCGACCTTTAGTTTGCCTCAAATTCATTTCCACTGAATTTTGTGAAAATATATGGAGAATTGCTTCCCATTCACTGTCTCTGCAAAAGTCACAGCTTCATGTCCTACCTTTGTCTGGCTGGAAACAGCCATGCCTGTTTAGTCTTATACTGTACAGAAGTTATTCTGTGCAATTGGTGGGAATTCTCTATTTCACTATTCTGTATCTTTTCTACTATAGTGATTGAGGTGAATGATGGATTAATATATCACCTTATTTCATAGTTTCATCTCATTCGTTTCCTAATAATTAGCCTTTGAGTTGATTTTTTGATTGCCTATGAACTACATGTGTTTACAGACCTATCCACAATGACCGAGTTCTCTTTCTTGAGACGCGAGACTTAATTTATTATGTGCATACAGCTCAGGTTAATTTTTACCATTTTTAATTTCTCTATCATTTGTCCCTCAGTCCCTACGGTTCATGGGATACTTTCTCAACTCTCCAAGTAAGCTTTAGTCTTGACTGCCCTGAATTAACAGCTTCTCAACACCAACATGCAAAATGTAGGTGTCAAATTTAAAGGTTTCATCAAATCTCTTCAGTGCAAGCTAGTAAAACACTGGCTGGATCTGGGGGTGCCCAGCTTGCCTCCACTTTAAATATAGGGAACAGCCGCAGAGTTTTTGAGCCTGTGTATTGCTGCCTCCAAAACTCCAGGGGCTTTTCAGTCCACCAGAAGACCTTTGGGGCTGTGAGGACTTGCTTACCATCGGACTTTGTTTTTCTTCTTCTCCATTACTTCATTCTCCATAGTAGACCGAGGAGGCAGCTGACACAAGTCTAGAAAACAGAGGAGAGCACCTTGCAAAGTCTAACTTCTGGGGAGACTTGTGAACTCATTTAATGATGCAAAATATGGGAAGCCCTTCCCCAGAAGGGCAGGAATACTTGATCTCTCTGATTTAGCTCAGCAGTGGAGAATTCTGCCTGGGACCAACTCTGCACGTTTGTACAAATTCACTAGTGCTTTCTCCTAGTCTTACAGGTTAGTGCTGTCAGGGCATTGGGTGATGATGTGGGGTGAGACGGGCTGCACAAGCCCCAGAGCACTGTCCCTAAGAGGAATCCCAGCACTTTTCGGCACTCTGTGGAAGATCATTACTGCAGCACCCTGTGCACCAGTCCAGTGGGAATGTGTTTGGTTTTGTATTTTTTTTTTTTTTTAAAACTTCTTAAAAACGTCATTCATCTCTGAGCTCTGAGGTATTTAAGCGACAAAATATTTTCTTGGGCAACCTAATTGAGATTGCCAGTTCAGGGATTCAGATAAGTGACTATACATCAGCTGAGTCACGGTAAGTAACTGAGTGCACGCTCCCGGCTTCCAGCAGACAGATTATAAAGCATTAGCTTAGCAGGCAACAACAGCAATTTAAGGTAGATCCCATGAACTTGCATGCAGCTTGGACCAAGCGTGCAATCGTATTGCTGTAGCTTAGCTGAAGTGAAATAACTTGGGAAGAGCTTAGTTTAAGCCCTAGAAACAGTCCCTCATCCACTGTGAAGTGAACTATTAGCTGTGATGGCCCCATGGACAGAAGTCCTTCTCGGTGCATGCGGGGGAAAAGATGTGCCCAGTCTAAAGTGCATTTTGGTGCAAAGGAGAGCTCATGTTAACTCTCCTACCTTTGAAGACACGGGTCACCCAGCGAGCTTGCATCTCTGTCACAGGCATGATTGCTCCGAGTGGCTTGATCAGCCCAAGGACAGCCAGGGTGGGCTTCTGCAAATGAGTCGGGAACACGTATTTGTAGAGGGACGCATGCTTGTTTTCCACCTTGATATCTGCTTCTTCAAGGAACGAGAAAGAGACATTGTAGCCCGTGCAGAAAACAACAATATCAATAGGCTCCTCTTCAGGGCAGTTGTAGAAAATGACCGAGTTTTCCTTGAACTCCTTCACGCTTGGCTTTATGGTGATCTTCCCCGTGATGATGTAGCTTGGCAGGTCGTCGTTCAGCACAGGCTCGCGTACCACGCAGCTGCAGAGAGACCGAGAGGCTCTGAACGCTGGGAGACCATGAACAAGCTCTGCTGTGTACCATTTACCCTGACCCTGGGCTCTCCAGCCCCACAACCTCATTTGCTCCAAGGCAAACCGTGCTACCTCCCTCCTCTCCAAATACTAGAGCATTTCAGCCTTTCGATAATGTCACCCTGTCCCACAGCCCAAGTTACTCATGTGGATGTCTCCTGTGTTCTTCCTCCGTTCATCCCATTATTCTTTAAACCTACTCTTTTCAGAGTTGATCCATGCTTTAAACCTCTTTCCTCCTATTTTTTCCTGGGGAACCTCTTGGGAAAAAACCCTCTGGCTGTTCCTGGAGCGCTCTTTCTCTGACCACCTAAGAGGGCTAGAGCTCACCTTCTCCAGCTGGGCCAGGAAACCCCTTCCAGGGGTCGTGCCCAGCACTGTAGTCTGGGGTCAGTCTGCATGTTCCCACACTTGCAGCTTTCGTGCCTGTGCTAGTCTGGCTCTGGAAAGGAGCAGAGGGAGCTCTCCATCCCCCTGCAACACAACTCCCCTGAGACCACACTGAAGGGAAGCCACTTGAGAAGTACCTCTTCTCTGGCTGAATGCCATAGTTTTCATGCTTAAACCACTGGTTCACCCGGTAGCTAATCAAGCCCCGTGTGAGGGCTCCTGGGAGGCTGTTCCTAATCATGTTCATAAAGCGAGTGTTGAAAACCATGTCCCATGGGTAGCCATGGTCAAATACGCGGCTGATCAACCAGGCACCTCGGCCAGTGCAAATCATCACCTGGGAGATAACACAGAATCAAGAATTCAGACGATGAATTTGTTTCTTTGCCTTTATAAAGTAACCCCAGACAAAGCACAGCACAAACAGCTAAACAACGAAAAACCTGCGACAGCATCTTTAAGATCTGCTGGTAGCAGAAGATCAAGGTGAAACGAGAGAAGAGAGCAATCACCTTTCTTTCAGGGAAGGTTTCCAACAGAGAAATACAGACCCAGAAATACTGTTTGGACACTGTGCAGGGCAGAATTCAAAGAGAGGTTCCCAGCTTACTTCTCCTGCACTGATGGCTTGCAAAACAGTGCACAGTAAAGCCAACGTTACCTTCCCCTTACACCCCAAAGCAGCTGGCACCAGTACCTTTGCAGCTACACGGCTGGCCTCCACGGCAATGTCCACTCCCGAGTTTCCCATGCCGACCACGAGGACTCTTTTCCCCTGAAACATGTCTGGATGTTTATACTGCCTGCTGTGAAAGTACTGGCCTTGAAATCTCTCGATGCCTTGGGGAAAAGGAAAAAAATCTCTTAATTACTTTAGCAAGCACACATCGGTATTTGCAGTTTTCATAGGGACAAGTGCTATAGAAACAATCCAGATGGCAAGAGCAAGGAATTCCTATTAATGGCCACCAGGGACACAGAGAAGTCCAGCTGTCCATCCTACATGCACAGAACCAGCATTTCCACTCCAAAATAAGGTCTAGGCTTTGAAAAATCTGACATATCAACCCCCAAAATGACCTCTCTGTGGTAACAGAACAAAGAAATCCCCAGCTCCTTGGGGCCTTCCAACTGTCCCGTCCCATACACTGTGCCAACAGCTTCTCCGAGCCGGAGGGCGCCGTCATCCTGCCTCTAAAGCCATCAGCACCCGCAGAAGGGGCTGCTGAGGCACAAGCGCTTATCGCTGTTTGCGCCAGCGGTTGCGAGAGCGGGAGCCGAGTACACAAGAGACAAAGCAGTTTCATCAGGCATCTCTAATCCTTCTCCCCAAAACACGCGGGAGGCCCTAACGGCGAGCAGCAGGCGCGCCGTACCGGGAAAGCAGTGCAGCGGGAGGGAAGGCTCCCAGAAGTTGCCGCTGCAAACCATCACGGCGTCAAAGACGTGCGACGCCCGCGTCCCGTCCGCCTCTGCGACGACGTCCCACTGGCCCG